CTCCTCATCACCAAAGTGCTGCCAGAAGACAGTGGAGACTACAGCTGTGTGTGTGGAGACCTGAAGACCACAGCCAGTGTCAAGATCAATGGTAGGAGGATCAGGGATTTCTTGGGTTATATTCACTACAATTAGGTGTACTTTTCAAATGTGTTAACTACTTTAAACATTGATTTGGATTAGAGAAAAGATTTGTGTTACACTTTTGTTTTGTCTTGATACAAGCACTTGAAGATTCATTTTAAGATAACATTTCTGTTGCTTTTTATCATTTGTTGTTCTTTTCTGTTTCTGTTTGCTGGCTCACAAAATGTCAGCATATTTGTGGATGTCGTACATCAGATGTTGTCTTTTCCGTTGTATGTGGTGGATGAATAGATGGATGGAGCCTTGATCCCTTTTTTTGCTCTTCGCTGTGATACACTCTGAGTTTTCATCTTCTCTTCAAAATGTGTTTGAGATTACAAAACAAACAATGAACGAAGCAGCCAAAACGGACTGCTGTCAGAACACATCAGTCTGTTTCTGTTATCAATGATAGGAGTGTTGAGGATTCATAATGCATGTCTGCTGGTCTGTGAACTGTTCTTGTCTATTTCCACCAACAGATCAGTTTGTGCATGCAGTGTTGTAGCTATCGACTGTGTTTTATTTGTCATGCTTGTTCCAAAACATTTTTCAAATTTCAGTTGATGTTTTATTTTTATTTTAATCATAATGGCAAAAATATTTAAAACGATCAAGCATGTTACAGCATTCTAAGATCAGATTGTTTCCTCTCAGCTCTGAAGCTTGCAGCTCCTCCTTCAGCTTCTAAACCAGAATCTAAGAGTCAGGAGTCCAAGGAAACAATCGGAGGTATGGTTGGAGGACGGCAATTTGTTGTCTTGTCTTCTGGCTTTATGTGCTCTGTCGATTTTGATAGTGGTCTTTGTGTCGCCAATTGCAGCTTGCCCTTAAATCTGGTCTATACCCTTAGTCCTATATAGGTTATGATACATGTATTCCTCCCATGTTTTGGTTTTTTAGTTTACCCGTTTTTAGGCTGCAGTTTTGTGTGCCTCTGGAGTTATAGTTATGTCTTTGCAATGTTTATGTGGGTCTTTTCCCTCATTGTTGGATTGCAGTATATGTACGAAATGAAGGCTTTGTGTGCTAATTGTGCTGATAGCACAGTGATGCTTTGGGAATCATACCTATTGTTGGCTTTTGATTTTACATATGCATTAGTAAACTTGTGTCTGGCATAATTCTTTGCCCTCTGACGGTCTTTGAGTTTATGGCAGTTATAGAAGCTGGGCTCAGGTCTTTATATTAAATGATGTAGGTAAGGCATTGTCACTGGTTGGTGACATTACATTCATGCAGCATGATATCCATATGATATTTTTATTTCAGCAAAAGCCCCTGAAGCTCCCTCCAAAGTTGCTCAAGATGAGCACAAGAAGCAAGAGATAAATGAGACAGTAGAAGGTAATTCTCCGAAGATTCTTGGCTTTGCTTGGTTATTTAACCCATGTCCATTTGTCAATTATCAGTCCAATGAACTGCTTCGTTATGCCAAAATTGAGAAAAACGAATGACTATTTATTCAGTTCTTAAAACTGTCACATCTTGTGTTGGCTGCTGACTGGTGTTATCTGATAGAAAGTAGTTGGGTCATGAATTGACTTACATTGTGTTTTGTTTTGCTTCATGGAATTGCTTTAAGGTTTAACATATTACACATGTTTATATTTCCAAGCTAACCTGTGCTATTTATTCAGCCTGCTAAATATGGCTTTTTTATTCACTTGGTAAATGTCATCTTTTAAGCTTGTATAAACAAAAAAAGATCAATCTAAACATCTATGGATATCTGTGGTGCCTCGTTGACTTTGTTGCATGGAGACTGACTTTGTATGGAGACATGTCTTTGTTTTCAGCTGTTATTACATGTCACTATCCTAAGGCACTTATGGGTCTGATGCTATGTTCAATTTATAGCTGTGACACTGCTAACTACTGGACAGACTCCTCCACAGCGGCAACTCAAACAGGAGATTCGTGGAGATTCTCAAGTGGGAAGTGATGGTAATGAGACACATGTTTGTATGGCGTCTATCAGTTAGAGTTAGCATAGTCGTCATTTGAGTTATTCCAGATATAATGGATTTTAAGTCTTCTAGATAAACACACTTAACAAGAAAGAAGAATTAGAAACTATTAAGGGAGTAGGCCGCTCAGTTTGTTTAACTGTCTGTGCTGTTGGTTATGTTGCCTAATAATTGTGAGAAATATATACAGAAGTTGGCTTTTATTTCGTTATCCCTCGTTTGTTTCCCTGTTCCATTTTGTGGCACATCATTTTACCCTGTTGTATTAGTGCTTTGTTTGTTCCAGTTCTCATGTCAATTGTCAAAGATCTTTAGACTGGTTGTACAGGGTCATTAGTAGGGATGTCCCGATCACCTTTTCTTGCTCCCGATCCGATTCCGATCATTTGATTTTGACAATTTGCCGATACCGATTTTTCCCGATCCGATCTTTATGCAATGCATTAAGAGAAAAAAAAGAAAAAAAGCATTCAAGTTGTCCCTTAAGGTTGTTTTTTTATTTAAATTGGATATTATATCCAACATGGATATAGCTTCTTTTTTTCACAGCAGCATTGGATCAGTTCAGTTGTGCAGCATTGGATCAAAACAAAATAAAGCTTATCAGTACTCGTTAGCTTACTGCTACAATTAGACACTGCGCCCTGCCCACTCTGTTGCCAGATTTGAGAGAAATGAGCAACCAGGTCTATGAAAACAAGCCCCAAAGAAGCAACACATACATGATGTTGTGTAATTTGAAACCAAAACTAAGGCCTCAGGATGACTTTAAGACTTGAACATGGTCATTTTTGTTTTGTAACATTGAATACAAAATTTAAAAAAAAGTATTTAAAAAAAAAAAGATCCCGATCCCCGATTTTTTTCCTCCCGATTCCAATCTTTTGAAAATCAAGTGATCGGCTCCGATCCCCGATCACGTGATCGGATCGGGACATCTCTAGTCATTATACCACCATCAATCGTTCAGAAGTTATATTAGGAGAATTNNTCCCGATCCCCGATTTTTTTCCTCCCGATTCCAATCTTTTGAAAATCAAGTGATCGGCTCCGATCCCCGATCACGTGATCGGATCGGGACATCTCTAGTCATTAGCGTTTATATGTGCTTTACTGGCTTATTCGGCTCTTGTCTTCAGGTTATTGTTCTTTGCTGCTGACAGGTGTTATCAAACTGAAATATTTTTCACCAAACCTTTTGCTACTATTGTGATAAACTCCAAAAAAAGTTGTAATCTATCTCAACAGCTGTGGATCTTTGTGGTGTCTTGTTGTGTTCAATTTCATAGCTGTAACACTGCCCCCTACTGGACAGACTCCTCAACAGCAGCTCCTCAAACAGGAGAATCAGAAAGATTCTCAAAAGCTTGAACAGGGGGGTGAAGGTAATGACACACGTGTCTGCATGGTGTCTGTCGGATACAGTAAGCATGGTCGTCATTTGTTTTATTCCAGATATAGTTTCCGGCTCGTAGAAAGACCCACTTGACAAAAAAGAAGAACTGGAACATATAGAGGGACTACATGTAGGCTGCTCAGTTTGTTTAACTGTCTGTGGCATTGGTTTTGACTATTCTGTAATGGAAATATATAGATAAGATGGCTTTTGTTTTCTTGTTAGCGATCGTTATTGTTGCTGTTCTCCATTTTGTGGCACTTACGTAATTTTGTCTAATTGTTTTAGTGCTATGTTTGCTCCAGTTCCCTGTTGATTGTTAAAGATCTTTAGACTGGTTGTACAGGGTCATTAGCGTTTACTGTATGTGCTTTACTGGCTTATTCGGCTCTTGTCTTCAGGTTATTGTTCTTTGCTGCTGACAGGTGTTATCAAACTAAAATGTTTTGACCAAACCTTTTGCTAATATTGTGATAAACTCCCAAAAAGTTGTAATCTTTCTCAACATCTGTGGTGTCTCGTTGTGTTCAATTTCATAGCTGTAACACGGCCCCCTACTGGACAGACTCCTCAACAGCATCTCCTCACACAGGAGAATCAGAAAGATTCTCAAAAGCTTGAACAGGGGGGTGAAGGTAATGGCACACGTGTCTGCATGGTGTCTGTCGATAGAGTAAGCATGGTCGTCATTTATTTCATTCCAGATATAGTTTCTGGCTTGTAGAAAGACCCACTTGACATAAAAGAACAACTGGAAAATATAGAGGGACATGTAGGCCACTCAGTTTGTTTAACTGTCTGTGGCGTTGGTTTTGAAAATTATGTAATGGAAATATATAGATAAGATGGCTTTTGTTTTCTTGTTAGCGCTCGTTATTGTTGCTGTTCTCCATTTTGTGGCAAATACTCAATTTTGTCCAGTTTTCTAAGTGCTTTGTTCGTATCAGTTATTTGTTGAATGTTAAACATGTTCTGTTGTAAAGGGTCAGTTGTGTGCTTTACTGGCTTTCTTTTGGCTGTTGTCTTCAGGTTATTGTTCTGTGCTGCTGACAGAATTGTGTTGGTTCATTACAAAAATGCTTTAAGGCTATACATGGTTTTAATCTATTTCAACATCTGTGGCTATCTCTGGTGTCTCTTTGTTCAATGTCATAGCTGTAACACTGCCACCTACTGGACAGACTCCTCAACAGCAGCTCCTCAAAGTGGAGGTACATAAGGATTCTCAAGAGCTTAAAGTTGCAGGGGAAGGTAATAAGAAACATGCTTGCATAGCTTCTGTCGGATACTGTGACATCTGTCAATACTAAGTATGGTTGTTATTTGTTTTATTCCAGATTTAGTTTTAAAGTTTGTAGACAAAGAAGAACTGGAAATATGGAGGGAGCAGGGAGTTCAGTTTGGATTTACCATTAAATATAAGAAAGTGGCTTTTGTTTTCTCGTTAGGCCTTGTTGCTATTCTGTCAATTCTGTTTTGTGGCAAATGCTGATATTGTTTTTTTAAGTCGGATTTTAATGTTTTAATGCTTTGTTTCTCCAGTTTTATGTTGAGTCTTGGATATTTTGATTCTATGTTTATGGTACCTTGGCACGTTGGCATGCTGCTGCGTGTTGGATTATTGATAATGATCTGTGAGAGGTTTTTACTTGAAGCGTTAATGATTTTTGATTGCTTTCCGTTCTCATGGCTGGCTGTTGTCTTAAGGATATATATTTCATCACTGCAACATTGTGAGGTTATTGTTGTGTTTTATCCCAGTTGAGAAGATTGCTGCTGGAACAGCTGCTGACACAAAGAGGCAGGGGACCAAAGACCCACTAGAAGGTATGCAAAGATTGAAGCTATATCGGCCTTGTGCTTCTAAGTTGTCTCTTGCCACATCCGACTCAGTCTTTGTGTTGTCAAACTAGGTGTTCTATCTCTTCTAATAGTTTTTGGCTTATAGAGCATGTTTTGGTGTAGCTTGTCGTAGCTGTAAAGGGTGGGCAATGGACATAAATATTTTCAGGTAAATAAGTTTCTAAGGTTTGGTCAACAGAATATCACAATATGAATACAGGGGGAGATGCTAATATATAGTACCATATTAGCGCCTGGCCATCGTTGTCATGTTTTTCTTAACTGTCCTCCAACAGCAGTTCCTTGTTATTCTGTTTGTGCTCCTTGTGGTTTTTAGCCAACGTGACATGAGTGAAAGACTATAGCAAATACCAGATTTGTACGCAGCTATTATTTCATAAAATAACCTTTATTTAGCCGGAGATAATTGTTACTGTTTCTTAAAACAAGTTGGTTTTTGAGACGTAATCTGTCTTGAGGCTTGTGAACCTGTGCTTAGCCTTCTTTGTATATCGCTGTGCTGTGGGTGGAATTTCGGACGATGTGATGTAACTTAATCTACAATGTCAGAGATTACAGTTGATTGTACAAGGTGTTGCGGAAAATCTGTACTCAGTTGATACTCTTAAGAGGAATTAATTGAGATGAATAGAAACTAAATGTGTGGCTACTGGCTCTGTAGGCACCATGTTTTTGTCTTAATCAGTCTTAAATGGATTCCAAAAAAGTCAAAGGTATAAACCCAGATTCGTTAGCTTTTGTCTCTGTTGGCTAAGCTCTTGGTCATGGCTCTGTTTGTACATTTTTATTCAGTGAAGTTGGTTTTGTGTCGTCATGGATATTGTTGCTCTAAAAACGTGTATGGCACATTGCTTTTGGTGTTGCGATGGTGTAAAAAAAGTCCAGTTTATGTAAGTTGAATTCAAGCATACTTTATATGTCTACAAATAACTTCAGATACAGTAAAGCAGTCACCAGCTCCAGAAGTGATCTCCAAAGTTGAACCTGACAAAAAGGAATCCAAAAAGACGGTTGAAGGTATGTGTGATAGTGAAGAACACTGGTTCTATTGAGTGTATAAAACTCTTGAGCGCTGGGTTTTGCTCAAGCACATGCTGTGATAGAATAAGCTCATAAAGGCTGTTGAGACATGACGTCCTGTTTCTTGAGGGTTTTGTTAAAAGTATGGCACATTTCTTTTGGATGTCTAAGTTAGAAATTGGGAATTTATTTTGTTGTTTTTTGTATAAAACGTATCAGTTTGGCAACATCACTTTAGACAATTTAGTAAATTACACTATCATTGTTTCATTTTGCTGCTCTGTGTTTACTTCAGTAGATATATTATGTGTAACTAAATAAATCACACCTGCAGAGATTGAAAAGCCTGCTGTTTCTGAAGTCATCACAAATTCAGAGCTTTCAAAGCTGGATACCAAAGAACAAGGTAGATGTTTTGTGGCAACCGCACATTGTGTACGTTTTGATTTGTTTTCCTTGTCGATTTTTGTTTGTGGGAAATCAGTCTGGCTTGTTTCTGATATTGACGTATTGACTCGCGAATGCCACATTTCATGTCGTTTCTGGATTGTTGTCGATGTGTAAAAGGAATAATTCCGATCTATATCTATATGCTATGACACGCTTGGTAAATGCTTAGGTGGACCCTTGCTTATAATGGGAATAGGGATCAATGGCTGTGCACCCGTGTTGTTGAATGTGTGTAATATATGAAAATGGGCATATCAGGTCTTGTATGGTTTTATTTTCTTTGTTTTTACTTTTGCAAAAATACAAATATAGAGTCAGGTAAGTTAAACATGACGTCCCTTAGTCTTCATCTTATCTAACTGATTAAATCCACAGTTCTTCCAGTCACAGTCATTCAAGATCTGATGAGTCAAGAGGCTGAGGAGGAAGAAATTGTCACTCTGCACTGTGAGCTTTCTAAACCCGGCCTTCCTGTTGAGTGGAAGAAGGAAACTCAGGTGCTGAGTTGTGGAGAAAAGTATCAAATGAAACAAACAGGATGTTGTTATGAGCTTCAGATCTTCGACTTGAGACTTGAAGATACAGGAAGCTACTCGTGCTGTTCAGACGACACGATAAGCTCGGCCTCTCTTGTAGTAAATGGTAGGATGGATACCACTTCAACATTGTCTTCTTCCTCCATCAAGTCTTTCATTTAATCTTTTAAGTCATTCTTCTTTATCTCACTCATTCTTGACTTTGTACAGCAGATACAAATCTAGTTGTTTCCTTTCATTCATCAGCTTCCCCAGTCATTTTCACAAAAGATCTTGAAAGCCAAACGGCCGATGAGGAGGACAGTGTGACCCTGCACTGTGAGCTTTCCAAACCTGGTGTTCCTTTGGAGTGGAGGAAAGGAGAACTTGGTCTTTGTCCTTGCGCCAAGTATGAAATCAGACAAACGGGTCACCTTGCATCACTTGTAATCCATGATGTAGACCCAGAGGATGCTGGGAGTTACACATGTGACACTGGTGCCCATCAAAGCACTGCCCAACTAGCTGTGACGGGTATGCCTGCTGAATAAACCCTGTTGTTTGTAGTTACGATAATTGAGTTGCCAATGAATTGACCAAAGACAAAATAATGTAATGTAAATATCAAACATAAGTCTTGGTTGTCCTAAGTTGTTCCGCCTCCACTTCCTCCCCTGCAGCCCAGCCTGTCCTTTTCAAAACCCAGCTGCAGAACCTTATGAGAAAGGAAGGGGAGAGCGCTAGTCTTCGCTGTAAAACCACAAAGCCGGGAGCCAGTGTTGTCTGGAGGTTTGGAGACAGGGTGCTGGCATCCAGCAGCAAGTATCATCTGAAACAGGAAGGGACTGTAGTTGAGCTTGTCATCTATAAACTGCGAGGAGCTGACTCAGGAGAATATTCTTGTGATGCAGGAAACCAGATGACTTCAGCTGTCCTCGGTGTGCAGGGTAGGAGCTGTCTATTTAAGACTGACCTTTTCATGCATCCTCTGGAGTCACTTCTTCCAATGTGTCCTTCATCACTCCAACACTTGAGCATGAAGTGCATCAACCTTTCATCTGGATGTCCTATTTTCACTTTAGACTTGATTGCATATAAATATTCCAGTGTTATTTCTCATCCCACACGTGTCCTTATTCTTCCCTGTTCTCAAAGCACTTGTAGATATTGACAGAAGCACTTTTCTGTTGCGCTTGATCACTCATCTCTTCCCGTTATTTGTGCCTGTCTGTAGTCACAAACAATAATACACCTTTTACTTTCTTTTCTTCACTTGCTACTCACAGTAATCCTTATATATTTAATCACACTTTGATCACAATCTGACCAGCTTGAACTATGTCTTTGTCAAGAACTTCACTGAACAAATAAGTAACTATTCTTCTGAAATGTATCTTTCAAACAGAGGTCGAGGTTACAATACTGAAGTTCTTGGAGAGCTGCGTTGTGTACCAGGGTGACGATGTTCGCTTTGAATGTCGGGTTTCTCGTGAGGAGGCACCTCTGGCCCAGTGGAAACTCCAGGATGTCCCACTACAGAATAACGAGATGAACCTGATCAAGTCTGAGGGCTGCGTACACAGCCTCAAACTCCGGGGCGTCACCACGGCTGACTCGGGAACAGTCACTTTCACAGTGGGTAACCACACTTCAACTGCTTCTTTGACAGTCAAAGGTAAGATAAATGTTATGCATTGCCTATGAGGACGAGTATTCATCCTTGCGACTTTGTTTCTCCCGTAGCATTTGGACAGTTTACTTGCCTTTATCGTCTTTCTTGTGGAACGCATTCCCTCTATTTCTTCAACAAGCATGCCAACACATGGATGCTTGTGATTTTCTTTCTTTTCACTTCATACTGACTCGTTATGCATTCATATAATTTGTATTTAATCTGCACTTAACTGCATATTTCGTCATATTTCTACAGTGTATGCATGTGTATTCATCTTCCTCCTTTTCCACTCCCAACAACCTCGAACATTTCCCATTATTTTCAACATGTTAAAGTGTGTTTCCTTGAAATTCTTGTTTATTGCAACTTTTCTGCACTTTTTTCCCTGTACACTATTTCACCTTTATTCAGCCTGACACACCCAGTGATTAACCACGTGATATTAATCAACAATTGATATTGTTTGTTTGTTGTGTACTGTAGGGCAAGGTGTTTAAGATGCTGTGTTCACAATGTCTAGGAGTTGAGTTGAGCCTGTAAATCTTGTTTCATGTCCTCTCCCATCTTCCTACCCTCATTTCATCCCCACTTTTTATTGTGCTCTGGAGGAATCCCCATAAAAAGTGTGGATTTGTATTTAAAAAAAAATCTTAACACCCTTCCTCTTTGTTTTTTTTTATTGTTCTCGGAAACGGTAAACATTATTTACCGCAAGGCCATTCATTCATTGAACAGACAAATCATTTGCCTAGAAATATGTTTATAGATACATTCATTGCAGATTTTTTCCCCGCTAAAACTTCCAAATGGAGTGTAGATAAACCAGTGGCCTTACAGTTCTTTTCATGCTGCTGTTGCCTATGAGGACTGTTTTTTGCGATGGCTGTTGTTACCAAATAAATCTTCGATATTTGTCATCTTAATTAATTAACCTCTTTCTGGCAGCCGCTCCTGCAACATTCAAGAAGGAGCTGGAAAGTCAAGAGGCCATTGAAGGAGACAAAGCCAGCCTGTCCTGCGAGACTTCCAGCCCCGACTGCAAGGTGACCTGGCTGAAAGACTCCACTGTGCTCATCCATGGGCAGAAGTACAGTTTGGAGCAAACCGCTACAACGCACATCCTGGTGATACACAAGCTGGATGTGAAGGACAGCGGAGAATATACCTGCGAAACTGGGGACAAGAACAGTACAGCTACCCTGACCGTGAAAGGTAACAGAGCATCTCATCTGTGTCTCTCTTATCATCACCCTTCCTGAAGTTCCTTTTACATTCATCCATCCCATTAATAAGAACTGGATCAGATCTCCTCAGCATCTTACTCATGGAGTTTACAATCTTTAAGTTTAAGTGTGATGTCATAGTTGGCATGTAGTGAGAGCTTTACTTAAATATTCCGGCGTTGGCTCAGTTTTCTACTATTTTTGTTAGTACTTACTAGTACTGCCATTTGTACCAACATTTTTGTCACCAAATTAGAGATATAGTTACTGGATTTGAATCGGGGTTTGTTCAGGTTTGTGTGGTCAATAAATGATTAATGTCAGAATCCATGTTCCATGATCAAACTTGTGGCATCAGGTTGTATATAGGGATTAAAAAGAGATTCTTGGACACCTTGTTACTGATGCCTTCTGGAAGCTCAAGAGATCTGATCACTTCCATCATCCCATTCACCCTCAGCACATGTTCGCATCACTCGAGAACTCAGCGATGTTACTGTGACAACGGGGCAGGACGCTGTCTTTGAGGTGGAGTTGTCACACCCAGGCGTGACAAACAGCGAATGGTGGCTTGCAGATAACCTCCTCCAGAATAATGACCTGAATCAAATGAGCAGCCATGGCACAGTGCACCGACTGACCCTGAAGATGGTGACCACAGATGAATCTGGAGATGTTGCCTTCGTGTTGGGAGAAGAGAAGACTGTGGCCTGTCTTCTGGTGGAGGAGAAGCCCAAAGGTAAAGGAGACGGCACGGTCGCTTCTCACATCCATCTCCATCAACCTCCAAACAGCTTTGTCTTGGCAAATCGAAATATGCTGGCATCATCTTCATCAACATTCTAACTTTAGCATGTTATTCTTTCATGCTTATGCTAACAAAAATATCCTAATTTAATCATTTAAACTACTTAACACCTCTAAATTGTAGATATTGCAGAACAGGCATTGTTTTCAATACGTAATTTTAACCTTAAATACTTGAAAACTTTAAACTAATTATCACCACGTTTGTGAGGTGAGGGAAACGTTAAAACTGCTTCCATTATCAAATTGAGTTTTGCGTTTCCCATATTTACAGTGCTAATACTAGAGAAACCACACAACACTTCGGCAGTAGAGGGTGAAACTGTCACTCTGGCCTGCACCATCTCTGACACCAAGGCTTCTGTCACCTGGAAGAGGGACAACACGGCCATCCAAGCAGGTCTCAAGTACGACCTGAAGAGTAACGGAGCTCTTCACCAGCTTAGTATCAACAACCTGGTGCCTGAGGACTCAGGAACGTACACGTGTGACACTGGAGATGCACAGTGTGACTCCACCTTGACTGTGCAAGGTAAAGACCGATGCCACAAAACACAAAAAGTGTTGACCCCATTCACGAATGGGGATGATGGATTGAAATGACCAGCTGAAATGTGAACTTCCACATGCCTAAACAACACACCAAGCCTGGCATCCTTGTCATCAGCTAAACTTTTTGTCAAGAGATGTTTGTCTCATCTCAACTATCAGAAGCCCAACTCTCCTTCACCACATCTGATCCCAAACTTTCCCATTTTAAATTTTGACCAGGTGCCCCCGTGTCCTTCCGCAAGGAGCTCAAGAACCACGATGCCATAGAGGGTGATGATGTTACCCTGCACTGCGAGCTGTCTAAGCCATGTGTTCCTGTGGAGTGGAGGAAAGGAGGCCTGGTTCTCAAGCCCGGTAAGCAGTTTGAGATGAAGCAGGAAGGATGCATTCAAGAGCTCTGCATACGGAACGTGGAGCCCGAGGACAGTGGCTACTACACCTGTGATGCGGGAGACCAGCTCACCACGGCTGCTTTGGCAGTGCAAGGTAGCCTATTTCAAATCTGTTTCATCAATCTTCGATTTCACTGACAGTAAGGTTTAATTGTGGCTGTATTCTTCAATTTATTCTTGCAATAGAATAGTAGGTCTGTTCTTAAGACTTGCCTACATCTTTGTTACTTGTGATATTGCATGTTTTAAAAAAAAAATCTATCTTAAATAATCTTCTCTGTCTCTGAGGCTCAGTGTCCGCATATGATATGTTTTCACTCAACAGCGAAAGAAGTTTCCTTTGTGTGTGGTCTTAAGACCACTGACGTCTTTGTTGGGGAATGGGCAACCTTCTCCTGCCAGCTGTCTGGTAGGGCCCCTCACAAGGTGCAGTGGTGGCTGGATGGCACCTTGCTGGAGAACAGCCCCTTTAGTGAAATAGGGCTGAACCCGGGCAACATCCACACACTCACCTTAAAGAACCTGGCCACCGATGACTCTGGCACTGTCGCATTCGAAGCTGGCAGTTTAACATCAACAGCCAAGCTCTTAGTCAAAGGTATCATATTGTAAAGCTAATAAGTAATTAGATACTCAGATAAGGAGGCTTTCAGTCTCATTATTGACCCTGCAGAATTGTAATTATACGTTTCACTCCTAAAATTGAAATTCTTCTTGAAAACACAGTAGTTGTGTTTTTATCTACCCAATATACAATGTAAGTGATGACAATATTTGTCAGCATTTTAAACTAATATGTTAGAAACTTAAATGTATAACATTTCTGAAGTTGGCAACTTGAAATTAACCAATTATAATTTGGCGAAAATCGTCTTGTTGAATATGAGTAAATATTCATTGAATTCTAATGTTTTCTGCAGGGTCCCTTTTTTAAAAATGTTTTCCAATGGATTAAAAGTGGATATTTTTTTCCATTGCATTGCTTCCTCATGCATGGGCCGCATTTTTCCTAATTTCATTAATAAGAATAATAATGATGGCAATTGATTACCCCATGCTGTATGCTTTGATACAATTAAAACTCGCCACTGGGTGCAGCACCACAGCACAGTTTTATTTGAGTATGGTTGTTTAAAAACTCAAAGATAATTAAACCAGTAAGATCTGCCAATGAAAAAAAATAAATTACCATCTTTTCATTTTAATAATGGAACGAGGACATGGACCTTAGGTTAATTGGTGACTTTAATTCAAATTGTGAATATGAGCATGAATGGTTGTCTCGCTGTTTGTGGCACTCCTGTGATTGACTGGCAACATGTCCAGCCTTGGTGGTGAAACTGACTTGATGGTACTTGTTAGCATCATTGGCTCCATTTGGCCACATCTTTCCTTAACAGTGTTGCCATATCAAGGTAGGGTATTTTCTAAAATCAAAGTGCATACTGTTGCGGAATAATTTGCTTATGTATTCAACCTTTGACACAGTTCATCATTTTCTCTTTTCACTGTCTCCTTTCCCATGGCATAGGTCTACGGCCTAGGGTATTGCTGCTATCTCTCTTAAGGAGGGGAAGCTTGGGCGCATGGCTGTTATGACATGAGATAGTTTATTGTTCAGGGACATCTAGAAGTCCTTCTTTTTTAGGAACGTAGGTTCCCTGACACATATTATTTTCTATGGACGACAGCTCTAGTTAGATTCAGGGTCCATATTTGTTTAGTCTCACTGAATGTTGATTATTACACTCCGAACTAGTTAAAACCTGGAACTACAGAAGAGCTCTTGAGAATTGACTGTGGCATCTCAACCGTGTGGTCAACCCGTGGCCCGTGACGTCTTGTGAATTATCCGGCCGAAGCTCCAAATAAACCATCAGTGTTTGCCATCAAAGTTCCAGCTCTCCTCATGTCTCTCTGAGTTCTGACTCCAATGGCTTCAGAAGTTTCCCCCACACATATTGTAGGAACACTGATGGATTTGAATGACTGTGCGTAACGTTGCATTGAAAGTGCTCTTGTCTGTTTGCAAGAAGAGATTAGTTATGTTGGGACTTAAGATGTTCATTGCCATGTCTACACTGTACTGTGCATATGACAATTAAGCCTTCGAATCTTTGAAACGCAGCATTTTTGGAAGAAACGTCTGTGATTTAGGATCGCCCAATCAGTTACGTTTTTAGAGTAGGAACTTAAAGCATGATAGTGATTATTATATGGTTAGACGTGCAGCTCAAAGTGTACGCGTACCCTGGTAATAAAAATTATTTTGATGATTTTAGTAGCAAATCACTAAATATTGACACAATGTTAGTTTAAGAAAGTGCTGCTCCACCCACCCATCCAAGCAGGCCGGCTGCTGTTGAATACTAATTTACCTTAACTATCCCATCCCATCAAGGCCTGCCCCTAACTTTCAAGCACTAAAAACTCTAACCTCCCCACACGCGCCTTATGAGTTTGACATGTATATTCCCCCATTTGGCCCTTGATTGTGACCAATGCCTCAATCTTGACGGTTGGGCTTTTTGACCCCCTACTCATTTTCTGTCCTCACATGGGACCATAGTGTGGCCATTAAAAGAATACTGTATCACGTCAAGTACAATTTTTACTTGACATAAAACATATTGAAATAACTCACATCACTGAAAATGCGCTTGGGGTTTATAAAGCCCATGCGTCATTGGTCATGCCCTGCGCTTATCTTTATATCTATTGGTCAAACCCTGACCCTTTGACCCCTGACCCCAACCTCAGATCCCACAGTTGAAGTGGTGAGCGAGCTGGAGGACATTCGTGTGCTCGAAAACCAACCGGCTGAGTTCATCTGCCAGTTCTCACGGCCGGTCAAGCCTCAGTGGAAAAAAGATGGGCAGCCATTACAGCCTGACGGCCGAAGGGTGGTAGTGGAGCAGGATTGGAATGTGGCTCGCTTGTACATTAGCCATGTGTCTGCTGAGGACAGGGGAACATACTCCTGTGAGGCAGAGGGGACCTGTGCGGTCGCTTCACTTTTTGTGGAAGGTGAGCTTCCCTGCATTGGGAAAGGGCTCTAACCTCTAGGGAGTCTCCTCTGCTCCATCATATCTTACAGGACAAATTAACTGATCAGCTATTCATGATCAAGTTTCATTGATTGATTGATTCTTTACATTTTTATAATGCTTTCTTTGTTTTTTCGTTTGTTTTCTACAGGAAAACCCATTGACATTGTCCAGGGCCTGGAGAATATAGAAACCTTTGATGGAGGTGAAGTGCTGCTTGAGTGTGCCCTGTCTCGTCCTGAGAGCAAAGATTGCCACTGGTTCCTCGATGGGAAACCAGTAAAGGAATCCCCTAATGCTGAGATTGTAACATTTGAGAGTGGTCGTCGTCATCTGCTCCTTCTGAAAGAGTTGCGAGTGACAGACAGTTGCACAGTGACTTTCAAAGTTGGCACAGCCTCCACATCGGCCCAACTCTCCGTCAAACGTGAGTCTATCAAATAAAAAACACAAGACTTTAGTTGTTTTCATAGGATTATCTTGTCTGATTATGCATTGTAATGTCATACACTTACACTGACAAACTTTTATATTTAAATCTGTGTATTTTCCCTTGAAGGCTGGCAGCTGGATGTTGTGAAGAGTCTGGAGGACAAGGTGGCTGCAGTGGGAGAAAAGGTTGAGTTTAATGTCGAACTCACAGAGCCTGTCCCTTCAGCCGAAGTAGCCTGGTATATTAATGGGGTTGAGATCAAACCCAGCGACCTCTGGGCCTTGAGAGCTGACGGCTGTTCTTATCGCCTCGTGCTGAGGAAGGCCCCTCTAATGCCACAGCAAGAAATTACATTTGCTGCTAGAGATGCTCTCTCTTTGGCCAAGCTCACCATCATCAGTAAGTGTTTTAAAACGTTTTCTAGCCTGTATGTGAAAATGATTTGATCTTTCACTTATTTGTTTCTTTGTTTTTTTTAACATTTAGTTTTAAAATTTAAATGTTTGATAGAGAGAAAAATCAGAAGGATACAAGTGTAACCACAGTTCGCAAATGGTTTGGACCATAACGTGAACTTATTTTCATGTTGTGTTGCTTGTGCAATTTCAGTGTTTTCTAAGTGCATGATCTGATTATTATTATTATTATTATTATTATTATTATTATTCCGGCTACTTATTTTATATATGTATTCTGGTTATGTACTCTATGTTGCAACTCCACATATAACAGGATGGACGGATAGTTTGATACTATAAAGTATACCAGATAAAGTTCCCTGTAGTTCTTGATTATTGTTTAAGCATCTAATGCCTGCTTCTTTCCTTTTTCACAGCTGTACCTGATCCTCCAGAGGACCCAGAAGTCCTCACTAAGACAGAAAAGTCTGTCAACCTGTCTTGGTTCACTCCTCTACATGATGGAGGGAGTCCCATTCTGGGATACAGGGTGGAGATGCGTCTGGTGGACAGTTCCCTCTGGCTTCCATGTCACTCTGACCCTGTGTTTAACACAGAGTTTGTGGTTGAAAATCTTACAGCAGGGAGTGGCTACAGGTTCAGAGTGGCAGCCACTAACAGAGCTGGGGTTGGAGAGCCTGTTGAGATGCCACACACTGTGCAGCTTGGTGAGTGGATGTGTGGTTTAGTTTATGAGAAACTGTACTTCAATTTGCTTGTGTGCCAGGGCTGTTTGCTTATTATTCATAGTTTAACTACAAAATAAATACCTGAGTCCTGACCTCGAAAGCCTTTCTCAGAAAGTATTTTTTGGCTTTATATGTTGTACTACTACAGTAAATGGCATATTAGCAGTTGGGAAATCTTAAGAAGCTTTATAATTTGCTATAACATGTTTATTTTGTCCTTTTATTGTTGGACAGAAGCACCAATCCAGCCAGCAGTTTGCCCAGGTAAGGCATTGTGTGTATGGTTTGTAGGCTTTCTTAAACTCAATTTAAATGTGTAAAAACTTAACAAATAAGTTGGGTGCTGACTGAAATTTCTATATCAATCAATCAATTAATCAATCAATCAATCAATCAATCCATCAACAACTTTATTAATCCCGCAAGGGACATTTGGTTATGAGCTGCTTATGTCATGTACACAGACAGGAAGAAAGCACACAGATACACCCATGAGCAGAGATTTGGATAAATAGTTCATAGCATCACAATAAATAAATAAATAATGAATCAAGTAAAAAAAAAAAGACCTATCAAGAATGTTTGAGTGCAGAGGAGATGAATTGTGTTACTATCAACATATTAACAAACAATCTCATTGTGGTTATAGGTGTAGAAGCCAAACAGACTGAGGCTGGGACTATGGGACAACCCAGTCTGCCTCCAGAAGCTGCTGAAGAAGGTGATGTTCATGAGCTGTGGGAGGAATCGGCCAAGAAACGCCGCATGAGTCGTGAACCCACTCTGGACTCCATCACTGAACAACCTGAGGAAGACGGTAAAGGTGGTAAAAAGAAGTCAGAGAAAGTGGAAAGTAAATCAGAAGAGAAGGAGCTGGCCATTGTGTCGAAGACGCAGGTAGAGTCCAAAATTAGCACCACCTCAGAGGATGAGTCTGTTTCCGGGGGTTCAACGCTTGTCTCCTACCTCAAGAAAAGCAGCACTTCTTCTGTCACAGCAACCAATGAGACGGAGACTTTGACTACTGAGAAGTTCTTCGCACATTTCAAGATGGAAGAGCAGACAGTGCAGGAGTCTAGGGTGGAAACAACCATAATACAGCAGACAGATGCAAAACAGGTGTCAACAGAGGAGACTGAGATCATGGAGATCAGTAAAGAGGATGAGCCTGAACTCAGAGATGCTGCCATTAAGATTCAAGCTGCCTTCAAGGGCTACAAAGCCCGCAAGGACATGCGCCCTGTCTTTAAAGATGCCTTCAAAGACCAGACCAAAGAACCTAACGGCACTATACATCTAGAATGCATTGCAGAAGGTAAACCTGATAAGGTGCGCTGGCTGAAGGATGGAGAACCACTGACTGATGGCAAACACCACCATATTGATATCTACAATGATGGCACTTGCTCACTGGTTATCACTGCCATCACCATAAAAGATACTGGGGTCTACACATGTGAGGTCACCAACAAGTATGGAGTCACGTCTCACAGTGGTAAGGTCACAGTAGGAACGGAGAGAGAATCATCTGGGCGGCGGCCGCTGACCGTGGGCTACAGTGCCGACAGCGAGCCGGACAGCTCCTCAGGAAGTGAGATGGATGATTCTCTGAGACAGGCAAGCAAACGTCTGTGCCGCCTGCTGCGATCAAGTCTCCCTCCGAATGTTGAGGAAGAATCATTTGTCAGCGCAGATGAAGGAGACATGGGTCCTCCAGATCCACACTCTTACCGGGAGGACGACTGTTACATCTACATTCGTTTTGACTCCCGGACAGAGGCTGAGGTTGCTTCAAAGAGGTTTCAGGAGATGTTTACAATCCATGGGGTTCCTGTGGATACAAGCATCCTGGAGGCTGGGCATCTCAAAGTGGAGCTGCGAATTAGAAAGATGGGCTACGTGCAAGATGGCACACAGACCCCCACACAAGAAAGACAGCCAGTTGCGTTTATGGCTGGATCCCAGGGTAAGAAACACATGGCTGTTGGATCAAGATACATTTGTAATAGACAATCTAAGTCTAAATCATCAATATTGTGATACAAATATGTTTTTTTTTGTGAGGAAATGTTCAAGTAGCATGTCATATGCATGTATATATTGTATTTAATTGGCAAAAAAGTTAAGTACTTAGACACATACAGTTGAGGCCTAAATGATCAGCCCCCCAGGAGTTATGGAACATTTTCCTAAAATTCTTCCCAATGTTTCCAGTATTGATAAAACTTGATATAATCAAACATTCACCAG